AGCTCGCTGAGACCCTGGGTGAACGCCGCGCACACGTAACCAACCGCGTGCTCTGCGCCAGCTCTGTTTCTCGAAACTGCGTCCAAACGTGGGAAAAAAATGTGCTTAAATTTTTGGAAATATTTAAAGCATCTGGTATACCGCCTGGCACACAGGAAGTGCTCAGAACGGTTCTATTCTTCATTCATTACCATTGGCCCGACAGATAGCTGGGTTTTATTTTATTTGGGGAAATTAGGGAGAAATCTGGCAGTGTTTTTAGGAATATTAGGGAGAAGTGTGGTGGAGTACTTATGAATTCAACGGCTATTCTCCCGACAGCGGGCACGCACCCCCTCCACCTCTCGGCTGCTGCTGTTCCGGGCTCCGGTGCCCGCCCGTCCGAGGCCGCCTGCCAGGGCACATCCGCGCTGTCTGCCCAGCTCGCGGGCGTTCCCGTGAGACGCGCCAGGTGCTCCCCGCACACGGAGCGGGCGGCCGCGGGCGGGCGGGAGGAGACAGCTCTGAGCCCCGGGCTCCCGCCGGCGCGCTTGCTGAGTGACTGACCAAACAGCGCAGACTCGGGACCCACGGCCTGGCCAGCCCCGAGCGCCTCGCAGACGTGAGCTTCTGTGGGTTCCGACGGCGGTGACCGGGGCTGGGGTCCCCACCAGCGGGCCGGCCAGGTGAGGACGTGTCCTGGGAGTCACATCCAGGTGCGGCCACGGCAGCAAACCTGCCCAGTGGCAGCTGGTGGACACAGCTCACCCCGTCTCCCACGCCGCCCTGTGGTTTGAGTCTCATCCGCCGTCTCGGAGAGACAAGCACCGTTCTCGCCGTCACTCAGGGGACTCAGCCGAGGACCAGCGAAGGCAGAGGACGTGCTGGACGCTGTCCACAGGGGGAGGAGCAGAGCCGGGACCTGAACTTGATCTTCCGACACCACTGACTTTACAGAAAACACTCGCCTAGGGAAGGATACCGTGTGTTGCATCGCTGGCTGGCTGGACATTTACCCTCGACCTTCACCCCCGGTATTGTAGTTTGCATACAGTAGGCGCTCATGAGCAGTGACAGGATGGATGACTGAGCGAAGGCAACATGGGCCTGTTGTTTAGAAGAGGCATTTGGGGTGTAACTTCAGAACATCCCAAGGCAGGCGGGCACACACCACACAAAGCAAACTCCAAGGTCCGTGACTTAGCGACGCGGGAAATACCCGTGGCTCATCGGCTGTGCTCCCGGGCCGTGCTGGGCGCTGGGCCCGCAGCGGTGCGCCAGAGCCAGGGGCTCGCACGCCTGCCCTCAGGGGCCCGGGGTCTGGCTGCCCCGGCTCTGCGTAGCCTCTGACCCTGCCCAACCAGGTCACCAGAGCTGTTTATTTTATTGTATTTATTTATTTTTCTAGAGAAGGGAAGGGATGGAGAAAGAGGGAGAGAAACATCAGTGTGTGGTTGTCTTTCAAGGGCCCCCTACTGGGGACCTGGCCCGCAACCCAGGCCTGTGCCCTGAGTGGGAATCGAACCGGTGACCCTTTGGTTCGCAGGCCTGTGCTCCACCCACTGAGCCCCGCCAGCCAGGGCTGACAGGAGCCGTCCTGACGTCTCTCCGCGGTCACCCCGTTTGGCTCACTCCCTCGGTCCCTGGGCACACCCAGCACAAGACGGGAAACTGTCACCGGGACAGGACCTGCAGGTGCGCCCGGCCGGGTCGGCGTCTGCGTTGTTCCAAATCCGTAACTCCTCCTCTGGCGTCACTGCGTGCGTGTAGCGTTCGGCGCTCCCTGAGGCCGCTTCACGCTGTGTCATCTCAAACAAACCCGGGGACAGCGACCTCCAGGGAAAGGGCAGCCAGCGGCTTCGCCCGCCGTCAGGTCACGCAGCAGCCACAGCACTGGGGCCGGGGCCCGTGTGCCTGTTCCCTGCGCCGGGCTCCTCCTCGGACGCCCAGGTTCTCCAGAGGAGTGGGCTCCGCTTCTCCCTGCCCCGGGTGCAGGTCCTAAGGGTGGTGCCTCTGAGAGAACAGGGGGGCTCCCGCGCGAGCATCTGCCCCCGTTTTCAGTGGCAGGAACCTTGTCATCTCTGCGAGCGAGCTGTGAGATCAGACGCAGCCGGACGGCACTCTGGGCTCGGTCAGGCCTCAGCCGTGGCTCCCGGGCTGGCGAGAAACGTGCTTCATCCCAAACGAGGTCGGAGCCTGTGGCCACAGCCCGCACAGGGCGCGGAGCCCAGCGGGTTCTCTGCCGTCTGTGCCGCGGAGAAGGTCAGGGCACGGGGACGGGGACCCGGCCCCACGGCCCAGCTTCCTCGCCCTGCGGCTGGGTGACGGCGCTGTCACAGCTCCCATGAGGGCGGAGGACACTGTCCACACTGTCCGTCTATCTGTCCATATAGCGGCCACTTTTATACGCAGGCAGTCCAGGGAGCTTGTTCCTTTGAACAAGGTTCTTCAGAGACCCTCCAACAGCCTCCCGGCCGTTACACTTTACTGGGAGTAAGAGTGGGTGACAATGAAATCTCAAGCGAGACGGGGCCGTGGAGAAGTTTTATTAGGAGTTTTACAGCCGAAAGTGAAAATGTACATTTCCCCGCACAGGTAATTCCAAGGTCAAGAGCTAAAGAGCCTTCCTCCCCCTCCCGCCCCTCCTTCTGGGCCACGGCTCTCGGCTTTGCCCGCGGCGTCCTTGGGAATGCGGGAGACCACACGGACCCGGCCGGGCCAACACGGATGGCGGCGTGGGGGCCGCCCCTGGCAGGAAGCTGCTGGGCCTCGGTCACTCGGAGGAACCGGCCAGCTCGCAAGGACGGGACCGAAGCAGCAGGCGCAGGGTCACACGGCGCTGGCCAGTGGCCGCCGAGGGTCCCTGTCCCCGGCAGAGGAGTGTGTCCGCCATCCCTATGTTCCGCTGGGGCTCGACTGTGTTCAGGTCCTCGGGGCACGCGTCCGGGAGACACGTTCCTCCCGCGCCTCCCGTGGTGGTGGTGGTGGTGGAGCCTGCAGCGAGGCCCTGCAGCGAGACCCTGCAGCGAGGCCCTGCGGCGAGGCCCTGCGGCGAGGCCCTGCAGCGAGGCCCTGCGGCGAGACCCTGCGGCGAGGCCCTGCGGCGAGACCCTGCGGCGAGACCCTGCAGCGATGGGAGCGAGGGGCTCTGCGACCCGAGGCCTCGGGGACCCTCCCCTTCGTCACGGTCGGTGAGACGATGCCAAGTCGGCCATGATCGTTAGCGACGGTTCAGGGCTGAAACCGCCCCGAATGCGTTCTGTGGGGAGCAAAACGGAGTAAAACAGAAATCTGGAAGACTCTACAAGAGTTTGCTTTGCACCCTTTAAAAGTTTCTTTGGTTTCCCTCCCTTTATCCACACCCGCCTCCTTCCCTCTCTCCCGCATGGCTTACCTGTGGCCTTTGGAGGTCCTGGAGGGTGAGAGCCGCCCTGCTCCGCAGGGGGGGTTTGCGGTGGCTTTGGGGACGGGGCAGAGCCGGTCCGCGGTCCCTGCCCAGAGGGCGGACCGGCGCCTGGAGCTCGCTCGGGGTCTCTCGAGTCCCCCTGTTCCCCAGCGGGGCTCGAGAGCCAGGGAAGCTGGAGGAGGCCTCCAGACCGAGCTGCATCGGAAGCCCGGGGCGTTGCAGGCGGAGCCCCAGGCGTCTGCCCGGGATGGACGGCTGACCTCCTCGGTCACGGGCTGCCCTCCCACTCCCTCCACCAGCCTTTGGCAGCAGCCGGTCCGAGCCTTGGGGCGGCTCCTCGGAGGAGAATGTCACTGAGGCTGCGGACGCCTCGCCCTGCCCGCCCACCCTTCCTCAGACACATTCCCCTTCCGCAGGTGCTGGCGGAGTTGGGGTTCCGCGCCCAGGCACCAGGCCACACAGACACACTCCACAGAGTCCCTGGGCTGGGGCCCCGTCCAGGGCCGCGGGAGACGGGCAGGAGGAAGGGGGAGAGCCGCCCCCAAGGGCTTTCTCTGGTGCCCCGCGCCCCCACAGGGAGGGGGGAGGGTCTGCGAGGCCGGCAGCGGAGGACGTGGCCAGGGCACATGCTCCCTGCAGTCCGCACGCACCCTGTTCACCGGCTTCGCCCCGCCCCTTTCCTCTCCTGTGACCGCAGCAGCAGCAGCAGGCTCCCAGGATGAGAGACGGTGGCAGCAGTGGCCCTGCCCCGCCCACTGGTGGTGTTTGGGGTCTCGGGAGAGTCACCCCCCACCATCCTGGGTTCCAGGCTGTTCCTGGAGCCGGCGCAGCCCCCCAGCCACCCTGGTCTGCTCTCCCACAGAGAGAGGAGTCGCAGGGTCTGGGCCGCTGTCTCGGCAGGAGCGGAGGCCCCTCTTCCACCGCCCACAGACGGGTGGGCTGCCGTTTCCATCCCACGGCCACGGTCCCTCCTTCCACCTGACCCGGCCCGGTCTGCAGACGGACCCACGACCCGGGGGACGCTGAGGAAACCCCAGGACCTGCTCACGGAGCCACTGTCGCACCTGAGCGCCACGGCCCGCTCTCCGAAGGGGCCCTCCGCGCGCCTGGTCACACGGCAGCTGCCCGCGGCCCTAGAGCAGAGCTGCGGCTGCGGGCGAGGCGGCCCCGGCGCGCGGGGGTCCGCAGGACACAGGTGGGGTGTGCGAGGCGACAGAGACACACCAGTGCTGCTCCCGCCTGGGGACAGGGGCCCCGCCGCAGCTTCTACGGGAGACAGGCCCTCCCTTCCCTGCGGGCACCTCTCTGCCCGCGGCACCTCTCGGCCGCTCTGGGAAACATCTTCACGCTACAGGTGGGACAGTCTTCCAGGAGTTTCAGAAATGTGCCTCTCACCAGCCCGGGCCCTGAGTGAGTCCCAGCCAGACCGTGCCCGCAGGTCTGAGCTCTCTAGGGCCCTTCCGTGTTACTTATCACATGAGCAGTCTCTCTACGTCCAGATACGCGGCCGTGGGGCTGTCACGGCGGGTGGGGCCCGGGAAGAGCTCACCCACCGTGAACACGCGGAAGACACTGCGCTCCAGGTACGAGGGCTGACAAACAGGGGTTCCGGTACCTTCCGCTCTGCCGCAGGCTCTGCGCCCCCCTCCTCCAGGAGACGGTGGCCCTGGGGAACGCCTGGGGCCGGCACTCGATGGCCACGTCTCCACCGACGTGCACGACCGAACTCCTCTTGACGGGGTTTTTGGAGAAATCGGGAGCTGAAGCTGAGAAGAAAATGTTTAAAAGGAGTGTTAACTCTCTCCCGTACCTGACCCGTGGTCACGCGGGCTGCAAGGGGGCGCACCTGAGGGACTCAGGTTGTTTGCACCCAGAACCCTTCCTCACGTCACTGGGCCCTGGGCTCCGGGGGCCAGGTACCGACCCAGGTTCTGGCGTCTCTGCTTCCTCCTGCCCAGTGCAGGTGACCGCAGGTACGCGAGCGCTCGGGGACCTGGCGGGGGCGGGGGGGTGGCTCGGGGAGAGCACACCCGTGAGGGGCTACGGCGTGGCGCCCGGCACAGAGGACCTGCTCGGGGGGGGCTGCAACTTACCCATGTCCTGGTGCTGATCGCCGCAGCCCCCAGGGCACGCGGGGGAGGGAGAGAGCGAGTGAGAGAAAGGCACGCTCTGGAAAGCCTTTCCCGTAACGGGGTGACGGTGGTTCCCCCCGAGGCCGGAGGGGGGTTTCAACCCCGATGAAGGAGACCTTTGCCCCGATTCCAGCGGATCGCTTTGCGTTTCTGCGTCTGTGTCTGGCACCCACGCCCGCAGCTGCCTGTCTTTTCTCCACCCCTCCGTCCCTCCGTCCATCTGTCTAAGCCGGGGAGACGCCTCGCAAACGGATCGGAAACATTGTATCACCGTGAAACACATTATCGCCGCGTCAGCGTTTCTCCAGGCCAGGCGTTAACTACCAACATGCAAACGGCCTCCCTGCAGGGTGAGGGGGAATCTGAAACATGCGAAGTAGTTTGTCCACTGTGTCGCCACTGAATGAATGAACTATGCACAACACCAGTTCAGGAGGACGAGACATCATCAGCCCGAGTGCAGCCAAGCCTCTGCAAGTTCAAGGGGCTGGGGGCCCATGTGTGCACACCCCACACACGGCCAGTCCAGCCACCCGAAGCTTCCAAAGGCCCCGGGGGCCAGCCTCTGTGCGTTTCCAGCTTCCCTGCCCCCGCCGCCTTTCCCTCTGACCTCGCTTAAAGGGCCGGCGCTCAGTGTAGGTTTCGTTCACCGTGCCGAGGGGCCCGATGGCACCTGCGCGGTCCCGGCCCACAGCATCACAGTGTTTTCCAAGGCGACCTTTTTCCCGGGGACACCACAGTTCTCTAGAGGAGCAGAGCTCCCTCCGTGGGGTGGATAACGGTGCCTGGGGGCTGGGGCACAGGACATGTTCTACGGGGAGAGGCGGTGAGAAGAGCAGGCGCATGAAAGGACGCCGTCTCCTGGGAACCCACAGGACGCTGCCTGTCTGTCCGACCCTCCCTCCCGCCCCTCCGATGGCTCTTCCCGCCCCCAGGACAGCTGCAGGTGGAGGAGACCAGGGCGGAGTCCGTCTCCGACGGCTCTGTCTCAGCGCTCTCCACAGCACGGGCCTGTTTCCCGGCTCCCCTTGGGGGCCCAGGTGGAAAAACAAAAAGAACGTGAGAGCCCGAGGGTTGCATTAAACAAGGTGTGCTCTTGCTCAGGCTCCCGGTGCCACTGTCTCCACACTGAACACGAAGCCCTGTGAGAACGCGTAGGAACGGCGAGGACACTGCGGTGGGCGGCACACACAGCCCACGGGGCGTGTCAGCCACGTTCTCGGGGAACCCGATGCTCCCACGTCGGAGCCGATGGTGCAGCCCCCCGAGGGGGTGCTGCTGCGAACAGAACGGAACAACAGCCTGTTCCATGGTGTCAAGGTCGGGTGAGACTCCCCTCGCTGCCTCGGTTCCCTCCGGGCCGGGCTCTGGCCGCGGCCCTCTGCACGTCCGGCCTCTCTGCGCCTTCCACTCCGGAAGGAAGGCCTCGTCTCTGGCTCCAAGGAGCCGGTCCCCACGGCTCCCCGCCCCCAGCTCTCTCTCTGAGGCTGAGCCAAGGCAGGCACTCCCCTAGCAGCTCGTGGCTTTCACCTGGACGCACGGCCCTTCATTACAGAACCGGCAGAGTGACGGTTCCGTCATCATCGCGGCCCCATCCTTGACTCCGTCCAAGCAGCCCTGAGGGCAGGGAGTCTCTGGCCTTGTGTAAATACCCAATGAACGTTTGTGGAATGAACGAACGAATGAATGAATGAATGAATCATCCACCGTGGTACGGAAGCAGGGTGCCTCCGGTGCAGCCTCCCCCAGACCCTCGCCCTGGGCACTGGCAGGCTTCTGCTCGGGGCGCAGGAGGAGAGTGCGGGCAGGACTCGGGGAATGTCGCTCTCCCAACAGAGGGGTCGGCAGGGTCAGTGCTGCTGCCTGTCCCCTCTCCTGCCTCGAGTGGGGACTTGATGTCAGGAGCTTCGGCAGCCTTCCTGGAACCACGAGGCCACGGGCACGTGGGGACCGTGAAGGAACCACAGCATCAAGGTGCCGTGCCCCTGCTCAGCTGTCTCCCCAAACTCCTCGCTGAGAGCTCAAGCGAACCCCTGTTGGGGGAGTCCCTGGAAAGGGAGGTCCCCCGTCCTTAGCTTCCTCTTGGGGGTTGCAAGCGTCCCTGAGGGGCGGGCATTTCCGAGCGGCATTCAAACCTCGGCTGCCATCGGCCCTGGAGGAGCCGCTTCCCGTTTGGTGGCATCTAGCGACAGGCCCCTCCCGCAGCCCTGACGGGCTTCCCGCCGGGAGTAACAATCCCCTGCGTTTCTGAAACGCTAATTGAGACATTTCCCCATTATTTCAAGGGAAGGCAACTTCTAATTTACAGGAAAATTGGGTTCAGATTATGTTTAATCACAGCTTGTGAAAATGTCACGTTGAATCTTTTGGTTATAAATGAGTGACTTACCTAATACTCTCAATTCTGCGTTTGCATAAATTATCCGGTATTTGTTTTCGGCCGCACACTGGTAGATGCCGGAATCTGACACATTCAGCGTCGTGATGGTGAGTGTCCCGTTTTCTATTTGAATTCTTTCCTGGTCGGAAGGGAAGGCATGTCAAGGGGCGGGGACGAGAACGCGGGCGCCCTCTCCGGCAGAAACACCGTGAGACGCCCGTGTGTCTGTGGGGCGCGGTGAGAGCCGGTGCCTGTGGAGATGGGCTGCACCCACGGGGGGACCCCGAGCCGCTCTCCGAGGTCAAAACCACGGAAACACGCTCAGTGCAAGTTTAGTAACCAGTCCACTTTGGGTGATCGCATTTCTTTGAAAACCGACATTGTCTGCGTAAAACGCAGGTTCGGTTTCTGCTGTGCGGGACGGAAACAAGGTGGAGTGGGCCACCACCCCCCCCCCCCGCCCAGTTGTTCCGGAAAGCACGGCCGGCCGTCACGTTGGGAACCGATGCCGTAATTAGAGCGTCTCCTTGCCTTCCCGTCAGAAGCTCTCAGAAAGCCTGGAGTGCGACCACCGGACAATTCTCTAACTGAGTCACAAGCAGGAGGAGCTGGCTTTTCTTGTCGGCAGCCAACCATAAAGCGTGCTCCAACCGCCGAAACCGGCCACAGAGCCCCGTGTGGGGCGGAGCACTCCCATTTCCAGTGCACGGTGTGAGAGCGTTTGCTGCTGCAGATGCAACTTACAACTGAGTGTTCCAGGGCCCCTGTCGCCTGCCTTCTGCAGGGAAAGGACAGGCTGTGGCCCCGGTGGGTGCGCCGTGTGCAGGGCATGCAGGGGAGTTCCACCGTCACAGAGCCCCCCGCTGCACCCCGTTTCTTAAAAACACCCGATGTGTGTCTCCGGCTTCCTGGGCAAAGTAAGACGGGGATTCACACCACTGCTTGGACAGTCTGATGGGACGGAACGGCCCGGTCTCGTCTCCTGTGTGCCCAGACCGCAGCGTGTGGAGCGGTGCCGGGCTCTCCACTCTCCTGGGCGGCCAGAGACCACCGTTCGCTTGCACGGAAGCCGGGTGCTGGGTCCCAGAAACAGACTGAGCGTAGCGTGCCGATTCTAGCCTGTACCGGCTCCCGCGTGGCCTCGGACAGGGGACTAACCTTCCCTACACCAGTTTGCTTCATTTACATACGTAAACAACAATCCTTTCCCGGTCCCCCAGTCACAGGGGGCTGGTAGCTGCTGCCTTCATTTGCTCCTTCTGTCATGCCGTAGTTGCTCTTTTTGCCTTTTCAGTTCTTCAGTATCTGGGACCCTTTATAATAAATTCTCTTTAATGCATGTTTTCATTTCCAGACTATATTCTGAGGGTTTAAAATGTTGTTTGTTTTATAATGAAAATTTGTTGAATACTATTTTAATTGGTGAGGACTGTGTTTTGTTTTGCATGGATGTGATATTCTTGTTGTTGCTGTCTTTAAAGGCATAGTACCCAAACCCAATTAACATGGGCAAAATGTGGTCAGTTAAATAAAAAAAAAAGTGAGAAATAAAAAAACAAAACAAACAAACAAATGAAAAAACCCCAATAATCCCTTCTCTCTTGTACGGTTGTCCCGGGGACACACTGAAGTCAGGCATGGGGGGCCCTGGCGCACGGCCTGTCTCCTGGGAGACGTTTCCATTGACAGTTACGGTGACACCGATGGTGCGGTCGATGATGGTGGTGACGCCTGGATGTGAATCCCTCACTGACGGTACGGGCCCCAGCAAGTCACCTGTCTTCTCGACCGTCCGTTTTCTCGATGGAAGAATGGGGGCGGGGGGTGGGGTGAGCAGCTCCTCTGAGCTGGTCTGGGGGTTCCGTGAGTCAGTGTGTCTGCAGAGGCTGCTGCGTCCCCGGGCCCCTGGCAAACACCTCGTGACGGCCGGCTGTCCCTGTCCCTGAGAAAACGTCCCTCCCACCGTCGGCGAGGTGCAGCCGTCCACACCCCCGCTCACCTGTGGGCGCAGGGGTTCCCCGTTCTTCCACCACCTGTACCAGGGCCGCGGCCTCCCGCGGGCTCTGCACTCCCAGCGCAGGCTGTCGTAGACAGACACGCGAGCGTTCTGGATCTTGCGCTCCCACTCCGGAGGGGCTGTTCGAGAGAGAGGCGGACACACTAACATTACTCCAGGCACCCTGCCCCACGCCCGGGACTGCGGCGGCGACCACAGGGAAAGGCTGGCGGGCCGAGAAGCCCCAGAAACGTGGGGGCCTCGACCTGGGGCGGCTGGAACCCCGGAGCAGATATCGGTCAGCCGGCCTGCCCACTGGACAGAGGCTGTCCTTTGTCGTCGCGCCGCTGCACGCCTGTGACAGCCAGGGACGGAGGGGGAAGGTCCGAGTGCAGAGCGAGGCCAGATGACCGTTCCGGCCTAAACACCAGCATGCAGGTCAAATGAGAAACCGCGTACCGGGTCTGAACCCTTCGCGGGCGAAGAGCATTGATTAGACCTGATCCGCAATAACGGAACGGCGGTGTGCCTTTACCAGACGTGATGAAGCTCAGTGGCCTGACGCAGATGCAGGGACCCAGTACGCACGGCGCTGCCCTTTCGTGAGGGGACGGCCCCCATTTCTCAAAGCCTGAGAGGGGGAGTGAGAACCGGCAGAGCGGCATCCAGCTCCAGCACCCCTTGGTGCCGGGCATATGTTTTCCAGACCCTTGCTTTCTAGAAAGTTCTACGTGGTGGACGCAACAGGGGCGATCGATGCTAAAGTGCCCTTCCCCCTGCCGTCACTCACGGTACCAGGTGGGGTGCGGGTCGGCTTTCTGGCGCCGATTTGGTGGCGGGAAGACCCCTCGGGCAGGGGCTGCGGGTGCCCCGCGGCGGCAGACCTGGGGCCGGGGGACGGGCCTTGCTGCAGAAGCTCACTCTGAGCTCTCGTCTGGGGCCTGACCCGCTGTGCCGACTGCGAGATCCGGCCCGATCCGCCCAGGGTTTCTCGCCGATCACAGCGCAGAACCTTATTCCGCATCTCACTGTCGTGGGGGTGACGGGGGCGGGGGTCTCAGACGCCGCTTCCTAAGCTCATGGTTGAGGCGTCCGCGTGGGAGCAGGCACTTTACTACTGATTTCCAGTTTACGGATACCTCCGTCTCCTGCTCGATCTCTTGGCTATATCTTTGTCTGTTTATTAGAAAAATGAGGTATCTATGAAAAGCTAGCCAAACCTAAACATCTTGGTGCCACTTGAGAACTCCAAGTTACACCATTATTTTATTTACAAGAGATGCTAAATTCCAAAGACTTTCCGTTAAGAAGCAGGAGCTACTGAGAAGAATATATACACACACACACACATACATACATACATACATATATGTATATAGATAGTGTGTGTGTATATATATATATTCGAATTGTGTGTGTGTGTGTGTGTGTGTGTATTCACATTGGCACAGCTCCAGAGAAATAATCAGACGGGAATCACGTTTTATATATAAAACACTCATTTTCGTCCCAGGTTAGAAGTGAAAATCTCGAAGGAAAAGGGAAGGAGCATGGCCCAGGGCCGCGTCCTTCCCAGAGGACACTGGGGCATTCCTATGGGGAATGGCATTGCCTCAGATTTGCTAGTTATCGAAAGATACAATTTTTCACCAATTACTTTACTATTGATTATTAACATGTCACACACCAGCATGACATAGAGAGAAGTACTTTGGGCCACGTGTAAATACAGGCTTTAAAAGTTCTCCAGTATAGCTACATTAAATTCCACGAAGAAGTCAACACTATTTTGAACAGCACCAAGCATTGGGATAATTCTGGGTGTATCTTCTGGTCTATTTGATTAAAAAAAAAAAGAAGTGAGTTTCATGCGAGCGCTGAGCTCTTCCCTGGACGAGAGAAGGCGGAGAGACGGCTTCCAGACCCCGAGTGCCCCTCCCTCCTCTCTGGGGTCCCCGGGAGGGCGAGGGCACGGGGGCAGGCGTGTGCTGTGAGTGAAGCAGTGACCCCCCTCTTCCGGTGTCCGACCTGTGAGCGGGCAAACCCTGGGAAGGGGGAGCGGACGCTGAAAGTGACCCCTGCCATCGCTGGCCCTTCCTCCCAGTTTCCTAAGTTCCCCCTAGAGCTCCCGTGTGTGATTAAGACCGTCCTAGGCTGCGGCTGGTGTCTGACGGGAAGTCAGTGGGTCCAGAATGCCCACCGCCTCCCCACGACCCCACGGCTGTCTTCAGGCCACTCTGATCAGCCGCAGCACACCCAGACCTCGCCGGGATTAGAGCCGCGACTTAAAAAGGGCCATCGCCACCCGCTGACCGTCGTGTCCCGCACCCTACCCCAGCAGGAGGCTCCCACAGCGCACCCACAGCCTGCACGGGTCGCTGCGGGGGCGCCCCCGGTACCCCGCCCGCGCCCTGCGCCCGCGGCAGCTCACCATAGAACACCAGCCGGCCCTTCGCCCGGTTCCTTCCACGCAGGTTGCCCGCGGTGCACTCGTAGACGCCTTCATCTTCCTGTTGAAAGTTCGGGATTTCAAGGGTAGCCTGGGATTTGCTGTACTTGACTTTCCCTGGCAACGGGCTTCCGTCCAACCTCCTCCAACTAATGTCGGGGACTGGGCTGAACAGGTACACCGCATTAGAACACAGTCCGGCTCAGCCTCGCGACAGCAGGCAACAGCAGAGTGTCCTTAAAAACAACTCCCAAGGAAAAAATCCAATTAATCGATCGCATGGAGGCCGGGTTCCAGTCACACAGCACCCGGCCATTCCCCACGCGGTCACCTAGCACTCCGTCACACTCACGGAGGGCCCGCCACGTGCAGGGGCCAGGGGAGGAGCCGGTGACCGGACCGGACTCGTCCGGTGCCCGAACCAGACCCGTCCGGTGCCCTCACGCAGCTGACACGCTGCTGGAGTGACAGGCAACAAACAAGCAATAGGAAACAACTGTATTTGTTCTTTGTACGTTTCAACCATGGGGACAAGCATTGAAGCTGCGGACAGAGTCGCAACAGTGTATCGATTTCGACACGGGTGTCCAGGAAATTCTGGAGGACGTGACAGGGCGGGGCAGGCAGGCTCCCTCTGCGCTGCTGCAGGCGGGGGGGGCGGTGAGATTACGGGGAGCGGGGCAGTAGTATCATGGGCCCCTGTGAACTGGGGCTCTGAGACCCCGGAAAGCACACCCGTGACCCTATTCAGATCAAAGGAAAACAAGAACAACGTAAGAGATAACGTTATATATACCACACCCTGTCTCCCGTTAGAAAGGGTTTGCCAAGACTTCCTTTATTTATAGGAATTTGGCTAAATATCATCTGTCTGATATCTTTAGTCCGCATGAATTCATGTTAGTGTGTAAAGCTAATGTCTGACAACAGAGAACGGCGCTAGGAATCTGTGGAGTGGCGGTCCTCACTTGCACGGGCACGATGTAAGGGAACGTCACGGTGCAGGCCATGGATAAAATGACAACCACACGGCATTTCCTAACAAATGAGTCGTTTGTCAAATCAGCCCCCAACCCGTTTGCCTTGGCCTCCTTCCTCTCCTGCTGGCCAGTCGCTCCTCCTGCCCTGAGCGACTGTCAGGCGAGCTGAATATGCGTGTCTGAATACATTGTACACTAATCATAAGGACGGAATCACGTTCCCGAAGCCAAATCCCCAGCTTCGCAGATTTGGAGAAGCAGCAGCTTCTTCCGGTCGACGGGAGCGAGGAGGGAGAGACGCCGCCCGCGGGCCAGGGGGCTGGCGGAACCTGCGGCGGCGTCCTCGCCGTAAAGCCGCCACGGACGCCTGCAGGGGCGACCCCGGAGCGGCTCCCCAGGAAACACGGAGGCGGGTACCGCCCGAGGAGCGGTGTGCTGCCCAGCAACAGCGCCCTCGCGGGCGAATCAAAGGTGCCGTCAGCGTGGACCACCGTACGCACGGGTGCCCACACCTCTTCCTCGGCAAGCACGGCCCTCCATCGGCATTTGGTCTCATCTGTCGGTCTCAGACCTTAGCAGACGGCTGCAAACACAACCTGAACTTCAACACAGAACAGAATCCTCGTTATGATAGACTCAGTGTCTGTCCTTTTGAAAAGCCTTGCCGCTTCCACCGAGTGGGGCTGAGGAGTCCGTACAAGGGCACGGGCCTGCCGCCAGCTGACCTCAGATCACCGGTCCCCGGCCGTGCCCTTTGGGCCAACTGAACCAGCGGGGACAGGGCTCACTCCAGAGGAAGATGCGTTTGCACGGAAGGGCCATCGCCGCATCTGAGGGGTTCTGCGGCGTGTGCAGGGCCACCCGGTCCCTGAAAACACGAGTCCTGCACCTGTGACCCCGCAAAATGTCGTGACTTTGGGGCGGGGGGAGGGCTCTCGTGTCTTCTGCTCCCCACTTTCTGTGCGCCTCGGTTTTCCGTCAGTGCCCTACAGTGAGCACGTGCTACCGTGTCATGAAAAGTTCTAAGAAGATTTATCGACGAGGGGAAAAGCGGAGGCTCCGACGCACGTCTGAGTGTGCGACCTCCCGTCTCACGCGGCAGCGTGTCTGCGCGGCAGAGATACGCAGAGTCCCCGAGCGGGGAAGCTCCAGGCCGCGGGCATTCGGACAGAAACGAACTTCGGTGGAGGGCGTTCCCCACGCCTGTGGAGTTGTTCCTCATTGTGATGGTGCAGACCGTGGTCGCCTTTCAACGCAACTGTCTGACAAGCCTCTGAGCCAGCACCGGGAGCGTCCGACAGTTAGTGATGTGACCGCAGGACGTCCCAAGGGACAGCCACTGCTTCCTAAGCCGGCAGTTGAGCCGGGCGGCGTGCCTGGTGGGGGACCCGTGTCCGAACAGTCCCATCGGCTCCCCCAGTGCCTGACCCAGCTGAGCCCAGCTCTATGTCTGGCCTCTGTGCCTCCCAGACCCCACGGCCCCTGCAAGGCCCCTCCGACAGCGCTGCCCTTTGCGGTTCTACGGGAGGTGAGTCTCCAGTTTCAGGACCCGCTCACTGAAGGGGGAGCAAAAAGAACAAGTCGCACCCATACTGACTAGTCAGAGCCCCCCACTCCCGCAATAAAAAGAACCCAGGGAAGCTACGCCAACCTCTCTGGACACTCCCTGCCGCTCAGGGAGGACGTGGCCTGTCTGCTCCTGGTGGCTCCCCCCCCGCCCCGTGGCAGCTGTGTGGGCGAGAATGTCAGCGTCCCCTGCCCCCCCCCAGGGTCCCCAAGCCTGCAGACCCCCCCGCACTCCCCTCCTCGAGGCTCAGCCCCGGCACCCCTGGTGACAGTCACCCCCAGCTGCTGGGGCTGGCCCTCCTTTGGTCTGGGCTCCCTGCACCTCCGGCTTCAGGCCCTGCCCTGAGAGGCCCCACTGTGCCTGCGGCTGCTGGGGCCGGCCAACCGCGGGGACCGGGGCTGCGCATCAGGCAGCCTGACGCCCAGCGGGAACCGGCTCCCTCGGGGGATCCGGCTCCGACCGTGGGGTGCGCGGGGGCTCCCGGGCGGCGGTCTCTGTGTGGAGAGAGGTCCTTGACGCAGAGGCCGACGCCGCCCAGGGAGGGAGAGCGGTGTGTGCTCCTTCACGCTCTCCGAGCGAGTTCGGCCTGTGCCGGGTGGCTTTCTCCGAGCACCGCAGTGGGTCCGTGATTCCCCCGGGGAAACGCAAGCCCGTGGGGGTCACAGCCCTGCCCTTCGGGCCCGGAAGGCCTCGACGGGTGGGTTCCGGCGCCTGGGTTCCGGCGCTCGGCGGCCCCTCTCCCACTCTGTGTGGTGGAACTGCGGGGCTCAGGGAGGCGGTGCGTCGGTCTGGATGCCGCGTTCCAGGTGGTTGAGGACTCCCGGCGCAGCCCGCTGTCGAAGAAGAATCGCTCAGACGGTGACTTCTCTCTTCAATGGACAAGTCTCACCGAGGGCGCTTTGTGGCTCTGCTTCACACTAACGATTTCTGGTGGGAACACGGGATCGGGCCAGGAATCAGGCGGTCTGGTCAGAGTCCCCAGGTCCTGCTGGAAGGCTGGGACCTCGCTCAGGGTTGCCGCGTCACTGCCCGGTGCGACCGCCTGCTTCTCGCGTCGCCGGAGCCGGCCCGCCTGGGGCCAGGGGGCATGTGCACCCTCCCTGGGGACAGCTCCCTGGTGCGGGCGCTTCCCGTGAAGACTCTCAGGTCTCCTCCTTTCCGAAGCCCAGGAAGGAACCTGCCGGGCACGGGGGTCTCGGGGGGCTTCTGGGGGGGGGCATCAGAGCTCAGTCCCGCCGAATGTCACGGTGAGGAGGCACGCCACTCTGACGGCCGAAATCCACCATCGGGGTCCGTGCCCCAGCCAGCGACAAGCCCTCCCCACTCCTCTTTTTTAAAAGAAAAACCTCCACAAACAGGATGTGGATAGAAACCCTCCTTGACCCAAACGTCGAGGAAGAATGCAGTCCGGAGCCAGGAGTCGCTCACTGCGGGCTCCTGACCCCAGGTGGGGCCCTCACGGGCCCCGGGGTCCCAGGCCGCGCAGCCACAGCCTGGCCGGCTCTGCGCCCTTTGCTCCGGACCAGGGCTGCCCGGTGGGCTGCCGGCGGCTGGGGAATGCGGCCACAGAGCGGACACAGAGCCCTTCCTCCCTCCCTTCCTCCCTCCCTTCCTTCCTTCCTTCCTTCCTCCCTCCCTCCCTCCCTCCCTCCCTCCTTTCTTTCTCTCTTTCTCTCTCCCGTCCTTCCTCTCCACCCCAGCCCGCTGGTCCCCCGCCTCCCCCAGCGTCGCCCTGAACAAGGACGTGGGCTCCATGCCCCGTCCTTGCCGTGTCCCGAGTGAGCGCCCGGTTAATTGTGGCGAAGACAGAGATGCACTCTTTAGCCATCTGGCCCAGCTCACCCTTAATTGGAAGTTAAATTAAAGCCCTGCACACACCAGGAGGAACTGTGTTTCAATCCCAGACTTTGAGCCCATAAATAGAATTTTCATCACCAGCGGCATTGGAGAAAGCGTCTATTTCTCGCTCGGATTTGTGAAGCCTCATTATCCGCAGCTGAAATCCAGCCCGTACCAAGCTTTTACCCAGAAACTGTCTTCTGAGATGCTCATATCGGGATTATTCTGCGCTTGAACTCCGTTCCCGAAAATCCTATCGGTGCCCGTTTTTAATCGGGGAGAGTGAAGTCGAGTGAGGAAACCGGCCGAGAGCCGTCGTGAGGACGCCGGCCTGCTCTGCCGGCCGCTTCCCTTGGCCCGGCCCGAAGGGTCCGCACAGAGACCCGGGGATGGGGGGCTGTGTGAGGGGGTGCGGCGGGCGGGTTCCCGGCTCTGCAGAGACGCAGCCTCCCCGCTCCGGAGAGAGGGCGGCGTTCCTGGCCGGAGGGTCGGTCTCAGTGCCGTCTAGACCCTGGGGCCGGGCAGGGCCCGCACCACTGGCCCACCTTGGGGAGGCCCCGGTCGGAAGGCGTCTGCCTGCTGGGTCAGACCCCGCGGGCAGCCCCAGAAAAGCCACCGCGACCGGCTTGTGGTGACGAGGGCGCTCGCAGGCAGGGATGCAAGGACACAGGCACACTGTGAGGCAGGGGCCTCCGAGCCTCGGCCTCCCTCCCCTGCAACCAGGGGCGGCAGCCGGCGTGGAAAAGGGGGGTCGGGGGAGGAAGTGTCGGGGAGAACGCGC